TGTCAGTGTGGCAGGGACAGCAAGTTGCCCCACGACTTGTTCTTCCTCTTTAGCAGAATTTCAGCTGGGCATGTGACCAAGCTGTGATCAATGAAGTGGGAGTGAGTTCTGTGAGGCCTTTGAGGAAGCATCCTCAAATGGAGAGGGCACACCTTCCTACTCTCTCTTCCTCCTCGCTCGCTGGAATGCAGTCATGATAGATGGAGCAGGAACAGTCGTTCGGGACCATGAGGTGGAATCCATGTGCTAACTAAGGATGGCAGGAAAGCAAGATGGGAGACGACCACATGCCTGACCATTTCGTGAAAATGTCATTAGCCTCAGACTGCCCGTCTGTGGGCTTCTTGGCCATGAAGGAGAGTTAAGTTTAAAAGCCAGTATTATTGTGGATTTTCTTGCAGTCGAACATAATCCTGACTGATGTAGTCAGAAAAACACTTCCTACAAAATATTCCCGTTGTAAGTGAAAACTGATACAGGCAAAGCTCACTAAAATTGGACCTGGGAGGTTACGAAGGGAGCCACACCAATGACATCAGTTACAGGAGGAATCGTCGCTTACAGAGCCCAGCAGAGGCACCTTCACCAGGAGAGTACCGTGATTGCGGGCCCAGCGGGAAGGACGGACCCGGCGTCTCCGACGAGAAACCCTCCACCCCAGCGACTCAGCCAGTGAGAAACGGCCCTCACCCTGAACTCTTTCCTGTCAATCTCCGGGTCAGGACAGCCCCTCCCAGCGTCTTCCTCCTAAAATAATCCTCTCTCTTTGTTGGACTTGCCCGTGGTTTTGCCCCGGCTCACAGGTCCCGAATTGCAATTGTCTGGTATTCCCGAATAAACCCATTTTGCTGGTAGAGTAATGGGCTGTTCTATTCTGTCGGTTAATGGGTACGAACGGGGTCCAGGACAGAACACGAGCGCAAGTGCGGGTGGTGACGACAGACCTGCAGGTACTCTCCTCCAAGGCTGTCGGCATAAGGTTGAAAAATAAAAGTGTGTGTGTGTGAAGGGGTGGGGGGAGCCGGAGGCCAGGGAAAGAGGCTCTGGGTCTGAGAACTGACATCCGGGAGGGCGTGCCAAGAGGGCAAGCAGAGCCCAGGGAGCTGGGTAAGAGACGGTGCATCTGAGACAAGAAGAAAGACTGATGTTTAGACGGAAGGGCACGAAGAGCTGGCACACTGGCTTCCGAAGGACAAGCCGGGTCACCTGCTGGAGCCAGAGGAGCTGGGCCGCAGAGAGCCAGGTGCTAGGGAAAGTGAGGGCCTTTCGATTCCTTCCTTAGATGGTCACCATCCTCTCTGGGCCTCAGGCCCCACCAGCAGAGCACCTGCCCGGGCCAGATCAGGTGATGACGACAGGTCTGTCTTTCGACCGGAGATGCACGGAAGCGAACCGCAAGCACCGTCAAAGACAGGCAGGTGCAAGCCATCCTGGACGCTAACATTTCCGTGGTTCATGGCACCCACCCGCCATTTACTGGGCACCTAGCACTTGCTGGCCAGGTACTTCATAGACGTTCTCTTTCTTGACCTTTCTCCAGTTCTTCAGGGTAAACATTTAAAAATCTACTCGAAACTCACACAAGTCACTTGCCCAAGGTTATAGAGCTAGCAAGTGACATTTACTCAGGGCTTTAAATAATAAATGGTGCTACCCCCACTCAGGGACAGAAGCAGAGCAACCCTGTTTGAAAATACTTCTTCGACCGTTCAAAAAAAGAATTCCATTTAACAACTGAATGAGTTACTTGGAAGATGGTGAGTCACTTTAAAGGCACACGCCAACATCTCTCCTACGAGCGGGATGACGACATCCTCACATCTCTGCGTGGCCCCGTCCCTCCCGGCGAACTGAGGCTCACTCACCCCACCACGACCCAGGCTTATACAGTGTCCTCAGCCCGATGGGGACAGGAGAGGGGCTGGAGGCCGGCTGGCGGCGAGGGGGGACGCACAGGCAGTCCCTGGGCTAAGCTGGGTCTCCCTCACGTGGAGGGAGGCCGAGGGTGACAGGAGGCGCGCAGGGTCTGGGGTCCGGCAGCCCCGGGTGGGAGTCACGACCTCGCCGCTGACCACTGGGCTGCCTCGGCCTGTTCCCACACCTGCGAAGGGGCGATCACACCCACGGCAAGAGTCGTTATGAGCATCGGGAGGGACTAAATGTCAGCTGTTGCTACTATGACATCTCAACAACAAATGCCAACACCACAGTGTTCGGACTGTCCCTGCTCCCTCGACCGATTCCAGCTGCAACACACTTCCAGCGGCAGGCCGACTTTCTGCACACCCCTTTCTGCCTTTGGCCCGTCTCGCCCTCAGGGCAGAGTCTCTGACCACCCTGAAAGGGGAAGGTGACCCAAACACCCGACCAAGTGAGGCCGCGTGCCACTTTCTAACACTAGACCTCATCATGATTACAGAATGACAAGCTCTGCTGTCCTTCTCCCTCTGCAGATCCTAAGCTAATGGTCAGGGACTGTGGCAGGGGTATCACTACATTCCCAATCGTATGGCACTGGCTGGCACTCGAGGAGGCTCTCGAGAAGGGAATCCTGAATAAATGAAACAAAACTGGACTCAGAGAGGTCATCACCTACAGTCTTCGTTCTGGGTCAAGTATTTTTTATTTTTCTTATTTTGGGAGGGGGAGGGAGGGGGAAAATATGGGAGGGGGAGGTGAAGGGGGAGGGTGAGGAGAGAAAGAAAGAGAGAGAGAGAGAGAGAGAGAGAGAGGGAGGGAGGGAGGGAGGGAATCTCAAGCAGGCACCATGCTCAGTGCAGAGCTCGACCCCACAGCTCTTGGATCATAACCCGAGTCAAAATCAAGAGCTGGAAGCTCTAACGACTGAGCCACCCAGGCGCCCCTGGGTCAAGTATTTTAAAAACAATTGTGGAAGGGCACCCGAGTGGCTCAGTCGGTTGAGCATCTGACTCTTGGTTTTCGGCTCAGGTCATGATCTCGCGGCTCATGAGTCTGAGCCCCACATGGGGCTCTGCGCTGACAGTGCAGGGCCTGCTTCGGATTCTCCGTCTCCCTCTCTCTCTGCTTTTCCCCAACTTGCACTCTCTCTCTTGAAATAAACAACTTAAAAAAAATCGTGGAAATGTTCTTTGTGTCCAGGCACTGACAGGTTCATAATCTGGAGGTTTCTCTCTCCCTCTCTCATTGGTCAGTTTGAAAAATCAGAGAAATTTTTCTTTTCGACATGCCTTTCAGCGGGTACTGGGGTGCTTTAATGATCCCGTAACAAGAAGTTACTTGGGAACGTGACAAAGCTTCACACACAGAAACTCCATCTCGTTTATTTTGGGCACTCTAACTTGTTTCACACATCTCATGATAATTCAGTAGAAGGAAACCTGAACAATGTCACCTGCAAAACAACAGCATTTCCAGAAGCCTGGGCAGGAAGAGCAAGGGGTGTGTGAGCCAGAATTCCACACGCTCTGCTGGTGACGTGCGACCCAGGTCACGTCTCATTCTGCACTGCCGACCTCCAAGAGCTCCAGGGGAAAGCGACGGGGAAAATGCGTATGGCTACACTCCAAAATCTGGAAAGTGACACAAGGCCTTACAGGACGGGCCACTCTGGGCCTTTACCCTTAAGTCACCCTGGCCCACACAGACATGGCAGGACCTAATACGCTCTGGGGAATGCACAGAGCCTGGGCCAGCACAGGAGACATGGTGGCATCCAGCCAAGCCTCTCTCTACATGAGCTTCCTGACGTCCCACCGACACGGCGGCCCTACTTATGTGGCCCCAGTCGACACGATTCATTCTAGAGCAAGTCGTAATGCTAAGCAAGGCTTTCTTAGCCTTCCCTCTGTCTTTTACCATCTGGGCATCCTTACTCGACTCTCCGGAACTTCCGCGGGACGTCAATCCAAGGAGACAGCTTTTAGGAATCTGCTGGGACCGCTGAGTGGTGAAGGAGGTTTTCTTGGACCTAGGTTAAGCACCTCAGCTACAACTTTGAACTGAAGGGTGTGGAAAGGAGGACACAGCTGTTTTTTCCTTCCCCTAAGCCAAGAGACTGGTCTCCAAAGCACACACCTAGCACCACAAAATTAATAAGGAATAGCAACTAAAGTCTGAGTGCTTAGTATGTACTAGGTGTTGTTCTAAGAGCTTTCCATGTATTAATTTAATACTTCCCACAACCGTAGGATATACGGCACTATCATCATACCCATTTCACAGATGAGTTAATTGAGGTGTAGAACCCTAGACCGAATAGATTGCTTAAGCTCACAGACTAGTAAGTGGTGAACTTGGATTCAAACCTAGCCGGGCAGGCCCCAGGCTAGCCCTCTTTCCACTGCTAACATGGCCTCGCGGACCAGCAGGTCTCCACTTTCCCACTGCCCGCGGCACGAATCCCGACCCGAAGGCCCTCAGCCACCTCGTACTTACATCCTGTCTTGCTCCTCACCCATAGGACCTACTGTGTCAATTAGAGTTTATCCCGGACCCTCTGTGGCCTCTGCTTCCCACCTCAACTAGGTTTCGTAATTTCCCATCACGCTGTTCCCGACTTCTCTGGCGGGTAAATTCCAGAACGTCAGACCCAGTTTCGTTCCTTACTCATCTCAATCCGACTTTTCTACCAAGAATCACAGAAGTTCTCAGAATGTGAAACGGTGGCGGTCGACTTGCTGAAAGCTTTGCGACCAGTCAGTGCAGAGACAACTTCCTCTGCGTTCTGTCTAGCAGACAGGCACACACAGTCAGAGCTGTACCTCAGAGCCTCACTGAGGGCTGACTACGTGCTCGAGCAAGGTTGACTGCTTCTGGCAGCTTTTCCAGTATCGAGACGATCAGGCCAAAGGCTTTAGTGCTCTGAGAGCCATCTGTCCCAGAGAGAATTAAATGGCCATCGGACCGAGCAGCAACACCAGAGACGCTCGGAGACGTTCGTTCCAACGCGTGAAGCTTGGGAACAAGTTGTTGTGTGACAGACGCCCAGCGGGGGAGGTCGCTGGCAGCCCGTGTCCTACCTTCACTCCGTCCAGCACAGCCTTGATGACCCCTTTCACCGTTGTGACCATCTCTTTGTCTTCTGAGTTCACCCCTTCCAGCATCACTTGGTCAGACCAGCGGATGAGGTTGGCGAGACTTTGGTACACCCGGCTGTAGCAGGAGGAGAGGGCTGAGCTGGGGGCAAGAGAAGAGTTTCTTAAAGAAGGTGAACCCTCTGAAGCACGACCGTCACTTGAAGCTACTGTTTGATACAGAACCGGTTTCTTGGAGACAAGGGCTCACTTCTAACCCTTTCTCTCCGGAAGACCCACACCTCCTTTTCGTGACAAACGTTCCCCTGGATCTATGCCCTTATAAATCCAACACACACCGTATGCAGCTTTACATTCTAGTCTGTTATAAGACTGTTTTCATTTTCCAAACATAACAGATAAAAATCCCGCCACAGTTTATGTGCTTATTTCCACAGCTGACATGCTTCTTCAAACTTCCCGCCATCCCCCCACCCCCCTTCCGCAGGATCCTGACCTCTCCCTCCCCTCCCCTCCCTCCCCTCCTCCTAGCTGCTAATCATGGGTCAAAAGCACTACACGCTTCTCGTTCTCAGTCAGACTAACACTCATGTTAGATGGGCCACAAGGAGCCAGCGGGTGCGTGGCATTTCAGCAGGCAGGATCCTCTACCGAAACAGCCTCTAAACGTGAGCTTGAATGGTCTGTAGCTCACCAGAATTCCTTCCAACGTGGGCTGAGCTCCACTCTCTGCACCATAACCATGGCAGACCTGCCAGAGCCCCGCACTCATGAAGAGCGTTTCCAGAACGACAACGGACGAGGGGCAAGGAGGCCTGTGCTGGCGGAGGCGTCGACCGCTCACCGCGAACGGAAGGCCCGGCTACGTCCGGATGCCTCGCTGATTGGGGAGGGGAGGCCCAGATGTACACTCTATATATCTTCCACACATTTTTAAGTAACCGGAGGTACTTTTCTCTAGGAATTATGGAAAGGATTACCTTTCCATTTTAAATATTATGTACCATAAGAGAGGAAGGGCAAAAATATGGAATTTGTGGAATGCCCCTTCTTCCCCTCAAAAAAAAAAAAAAAAAAAAAAAAAAAAAAAAAAAAAAAAAAAAGGTTGGGGGAGAAAAAGAATGAGGGAGATATTGAGCAGCCCAAGATAGAATTTGAAGGAAAAGATACAATACCGTAAGACATGATTAAGACAGCTTCTAAAAACAAAGCTGCTTATAACAAAACCCTGAAACAAACAAAGCTCTAGCAAGAAGCTCTTCAGAATCAGGTGACGGGCAAACACTTTCCAGGAGATCTACAATTTCCATTTAGCCACTCATTCCGCTCTGTGCGTGTTCCAGCAGGAGAAGAGAGCAGTCAGAAGGAATGAGAGCAAACTCCAGTCCCCTTAGAAACCAGAACAGTTTACCAAAGGGGCCCCGGGAGAGCCAGGGTTGGGCTGCCTCAGGGAAGAGTATGAGGGAAAGTGCTGGAAAGAGGGCTGCTGAAGGGGACGGGAACTGGTCTCCCCTGGGGGCTGGGCCATCGGCGGTGCCATCCTGCAGGAGGTGGGGGGACGGCCCTGCTAGCAACTCCAAGCCTCCTCCGCCTCCTCCCGGCAGGGCCAGGTGAGGCCTCTTTCAACCAAGACGGCCGCCTTCTGCCAAAGTGCCCGCGGGGGATCCTGCCAAAGCGTCAATCACACTGTTCAACTACTGGCCAGAACTAGATGAAAAGGAGGCAGGCAGACACTTTTACACAATGCTCGATTTCTACCTGCGTTGAATGGTAACATCCTGAAAGCACCTCAAGAATTCGGCAGTCGTGGCCACGCTTCACAGCGTTAGCTTGGAATACTCCTCTGTGTCAGGGGCTGAGACATTCAGAAAGGAAGGAGGGTCCCGTAACCAGGAGAATGTCCAGTGGCCACACGTCTCCATGCGCCACACACTCCCCAGCGCAGGAGAAGGTTCCTCCGCTCACTGTTCACGCCAAACAGCCGCTGCTTGCTCAAAGGCTGGTCCGCCACTGTCCCAGCACCCTAGGGGATGGAGACGAAGGGCCCACCAGCTGGGACCCAACCCACAGAGATGCTCTGAGCAGAAGGCGGGAAACACCTTCCTAGCTCACAAACTGCACTGGGAGAAATGATGACAGAAGGAACCTAAGAGAAACCTTTGAAGAGGAGATATCAGGGTGGTCGAGAAAAAGATCATCCGTTGGCTTTGCGAGAATCTCAGGAAGAAACATCCCTTAAGTGGTATCAGCCAAAGGACTGCCAGAGAAAAGAAAATCATCGCTCCTTATGGCCACACCCGGGCATTTCTCTCTCCCTCTAGGAAACTGCTATAGACGTGAAATAATTTTTGCCAACTACAAAATAGTTATAAGATCTCCCCATAGACAGAAAATGCCCCCAAACCACTGTCCTACTGCTTGATCTCAGTGTTTGCGCCTATTCCCACCCTTCCTTCAGGTCCCGCTCGGGGACCTGCGGGAAGTTTAACTGGGCCACGGAGTCTCCTCTAACTCTCCCTCCTTCAAATCCCAACAGAGCTCCGCTCAGTACCACTAGGTTCGAACTCCACCGCAGTAGGGACACTCACACGAAAAGGGGTGGAGGAGAACTCTGCATAAAAAGCCGTCTACACATCTGACCCTAGCGCACTGTTGGGCACATCCCCTCAAAGGAGAACGGTACCGGGCCCTTCTACGAGCTGGGCACGGGGTTAACTACGGGAGGGACACGGTACTCGGTCTCAAGCCCAGCACACAAAGCACTCTGTGCGTGGCGGCCACTCAGCAGGGCATGAAGGGACTCATTTCCCCAGGCTCCTCCTCGGTGACAGGAGCACGGCCTGGAAAGCAAAGACAGTAGCAGGGCAAAGTCATCCCGACAGTTTTTTCCTCCGCCACCAACTGGCCAAAACACCACAGTCTACGGAGGTCAGCTGAAACTCCAGGGTGGAAGGCCCAGGCCAGAGAGCTTCTTGGAAATAAAGACACTTGTTTGCATGATCTCCCAGAAAAAGAAAACTATGCACTTCGTTGCCAAGTTCTGAAAGCAGTTCACAAAAGCTCAATCTCATGGGGCTGGACGAACACCGAACCATCTCAAGGAACAGAAAACACAGCTGCGTTCATCCTGCGCAGGTACCAGAAAAGAAACGCAGAGCCGGCGGGCACCTCTGCTAGGCCTCAGCTAAGACCACACCGAGTGCCCCTTTTCCTTCTCTACCTGACAGTGAGGACCAGAGCAAGCTGCTCCCAGACCCCGACGGGAAAACGCACTCCAGCGGTAAGTGTTCCTCAACCAAAGCTCGCTGGGACGCAGGCTGACTCCTCCCGGCATCCCTGGCTTCCAGGGAATCCGGGTGCAGTCTGGGAGATCCTGGTCTGATACAGTTAAAGGTTTCATTAATCCATGCTCGAATGGGATTCTCGATCTCTTTTGGCCTAATCAGCTAGGCAGTTGAGGTCTCTACCAGGCTGGGTATTAATAGGATTTAATGTCGTAATACACCACGGCTGATGGAAGGGTACTAGAAATGTGTCCAACTCGATGTGATTACTGCCAATGACCTAAGGCCAAGAAACCACCACAGACTTACCCTGTGGCTACATCCCGAGCAAGGCTAGAGATCTCCCTCAGGGTCGAGGCCTCATGAGTAACAACGACCTCGACCTTGGGAGAGCATCAAGTCATAGCTGTGAAGGGTGGGGAGAAGGCTCTTTTCCCTCCCCGCACTCTTCACTCTTCCCAGGAGCCCTAAGTTTGAAGTGCCCCCAAACCAAGACGCCTGTAGGCCTCCCTTGCTCTGACACAGTCAAGGATTTCAGGGCAACTCACCTGTGCTGAATCCGAGGGTCGCTCTGCACCAGGGGTAAGATGGCCTCCAGCACCTTACTGGCTGACCCTGGAAGCATCTCCAGTACCTTCTTGTCAATAGCCATTTTGTCCACAATGGTCTTGAAGTAGCGCAAGGCACTAACGACCTCCTTCTCTTTCTCTTCCAGCCAGCTCAGGTTCTGAAAGGAAATGTTAAGCATAAGGAGGGAGGAGAGAGATTAAAGGGAGCGGTTTCGAAAAAAATAAAGTACGCTTTCCTATCGACTAGCTGGAGACTGATGCAAGCAGAAGAGACTTCTTGCTGCAGAAACCAAGCCAACTTACTTTCTAAGGACTGCAGTCAGGATACAGAGGCTAGGCTAGGAAGCAGAAGGGAGCTCGGACCAAGAACGTTCATTCAGATATTTCTGAATTCCCTTCCTGGTAGAGACTGATGTGGCTGAGGTCTTGAAAACTGCTTCGAGGATCCTTCTCTACCACACTGAGATAGCACCACTCATTAAGCATCGTGAGGACTAATTTGCTGATGGCTGTAGGAAGCTTAGCGAACCCGCAGTTAGATCTCATGGTGCCTATCCATCCAGTAAACCGAATCAAGAGACCCCAGGCCTTTCAAAGATCTGAGGGACAGCAGAAGATGGTCAGAGGCATTCGTGTTCAAAGCCCACTCTCCCAGGACCCCTCACTAGATTCCCACACTGAGTCCGAAGATGCAGTTCCCTCTCAATGAAATGGCTTGGCTCACCCAAAGGGTGTAGAAACCCCAGGGTTAGAAGGGGTGGATGCTCTGGGATGAAAAGGGGAAGGTGCTGGGGCAGGTAGCAACGATTCAATCATCACTCGTGTAGCAAATGCTAACAGCATCCATAGTTCCTCTGCTCCCGAAGAAAGCACAGCTAGGAGGAAAATAAACTCCGGAGCCCTGCACTTAGCAGTATTCAAACTCCCATGCCCAAATCTTTTCTCCTTGACTACAGGATGCCTCAAATTCAGTCAGTGGGCACACACCCCCCTTGGTTCCTTTCCCCAACCTCCCTCTATGTGGCCTTCAGGTCAGAGGCCCGGGTCCCAGCTGCCTGGCAGGGAAGGGAAATCAAAGATGATCTGTAAGACAGATAAATCCAAAAATGGATACCCTATTCAAGTAGAACTGATTACATGGCCAGCGCAAATTGTGATTGCTGTATATGAGGAAAGCTGTCACCTGTGGGCTCTCTGAGGTCCAGCGAACATACAAATAAAAGCACCCAAGGGCAAGAAGAACATTTCTAGAAAAAAGCTGATTTAAACAATAATCTCTAAGGAGATACACCAATGACATATAATAAGAAGTGATTATGACTCTGAACACTAACTCTTCTCTTCTCAAATGATGGAGAATGTCATTTTAAATAACATTCAATACTCGAGGCATTTATTCCATGGGAATAGCAAAAGAAAATAGGTAAATACGATCAAGAAGTAAACAGCTTCTTTAGTCAGACAACGTTCGTTCGAAGACCCGACTCAATTCTTCTCCACGGGAAACTTCCCCAAAGGGGGTCTGCAGACCACAAAGAGCGGATTCTCTAAGGCGGGGAGTGCCTGTCCCCCCTCCCCACCCCACCCCCCATCACTGGAGCCTCGTTACCCCCACCTTGCATCTTCTCATGACCTCACATGTTTATTTACGGTTTTTGAGGCCAGGCACTTGTTTCCTGCCTCACAGACAAGAGCTCTCCG